GGCCTTTTTCCCCACAGCCATAGCACCTAGGGCTGTATCCTTTGTTGCGGTCGCGAACTGTAGCTGCCGCAACCTCCCTGACGCGATGGGAACAATGATCCTGCCGCACGGCTTCCACTTCCAGTGCATGGGCCAAGGCGTTCTTAAGCGTCTCGTGGTGCCCGAGCCTCACAGCAGCTCTGACTTCCAGGTCACGGATGCCGTCGATAAATGTCTGCACCAGGTTCCCTTTAATGAGCGCAGGTACAGACCGGTAAGCTTTTCGCACCAGCTTCTCCACCTCTAGAGCCCACTGCTGCAGGTTTTCGTTGATGCGCTGCACACGATCTTTAAGCTGCGCACGAAAGACGTGTTCCAGGTGAGCGTCGCCATATCTCGCCTCCAATGCCTCAAGGAGTTGCTCATAAGTCACTTTCTTACCGAGAGCTTCCAACACAGTTAAGGCTTGGTCGCGCAGGCCTAGGGTGAGTGCAGTCATGGCTTGGCTTTTATTCCAGCCGTTCGCCTCCATGACGGCCTCGAACTGGATTTTGTAGGACGACCAGGAAGAGGTCCCGTCGAACGGCGGCACTTTGAATCCACGTAGCGAAGGTGTTGTAGCTACTACGGGAGCTGTTGTTCCATCCCCAAGTTTGAGGTCGTCCAGCGTTTTCTTCACGTCAGCCATTACGTTGTCAACCCGATTGTTTACTTGGTCGATTCGGGTTTCGGCCTCCAACAGGCGGTTGTCATGTTGAGCAACCTTATCCTTCACCTCCCGTATCTCTTTTCCGAAGATAGCGTGAAGGTCCTTCATGAGGAGCATCTGCTCTTCCTTATCGCGTTGGAGTTGCTCTTCTAAACGACGGGCCTGTTCCTCCTGTCGGCGGGCCTGTTCCTCCTGTCCGCCCCGCAGCTGCTCTTCCAATCGGCGGGCCTGCTCCTCCTGTCGGCGAGCCTGCTCCTGCAGCATCACCATCAGAGCACCTAAGTCAGGTGCTGCAGATGTAGGAGCTACCGACGGGCCTTCAGCCAGTGGCTGGCCCTCCGACGTCTGCGGCGTTGCACCACCAAATCTTCTTTGGTCCGTCTCCTGCTGGCGTTGACTTCGGGTACGGACACCCTCCGTTTCCTCCTTAGGTAAAATCGGCATGATTTTATCCCACTTCTGACACCAATTGTTACGAGCTTGAGGTTCGTGACAATAAAAATTGCCGATAAAATTACCTAAATTAACACTTTAATTTACTTTACACAATTAAAGTTAAAACACTAATAATTTAAACACACTAATTCACTTAATTCCACTCCGAAGCTTCGCTTGTTTCGCCCAAATCAACACTGCCTCGATCGCATCTTGCAGCGCCTATATATTTAAATTAGCAAAGAAATATCCAGAATGTTCAAGTAAACACGGGCAAGGTACCGAGCGTTCGAGTTTCGACTAGGCGCTGTCGGTTGAGTAATTTGTGATGTCATTTTCTCAATGCTCCCCTCGCTCTCGTTCCTGACACTAGATGGCGCTAGTGTATCGTTGACTGGAGCGCGTAACAATATGAAGTAAATTCTTCCCCTGACTTCTCTGGCGTTCACCGGAGATCTTCGTGGTATTTGTGGTAAATTTTGCAATGCATTATATTCGTTGTTATCTCTACGCCATGAACCAGGGGTAACCATATTTCTACTACTGTCATATACGTCAAACGAACTCCGAGGAGTATATCGATTTGAAGAACTTTTACTTGTTCTCAAAAAGTTATGTAGTAATACACAAGTCATCGTAAATTCCGTTACAGTTTGTGGTTTTAAATTGATAGGGCGTCTGAATATTCTAAAAACTGAGGTTAAAATTCCAAGTATATTATTTTTTGCAGCAATCACAACAAATAGAAGAAGATACAGATCAGACAGAGGATGACCCTCCGATAAGAGACCGTACAAGTACGGTTATCACACCATCCACACCACCATCTAGATCACCATCCAGACCACCATTCATACAAGCTGTTACTAATAAACGTCGTCGCCCTGCTTCTGAAAAGGCTGAAAAGGAAAAGGCCGTGGCTTTTGGACAATTAACAAATGTTTTGGGTCAAAGACAGAATGAAAATATACCTGCTCACAAAGATGATGATTGCAATCTATACGCAAAATTATTGGCTATAAAGCTACGTGAACTGTCAACTGATGAACGAAAAATTATGATGTACCAAATAGATGGGTTGTTTATAAACAGAATCAGTCAAAAATCAAATGAGCGTCATACACCATACCCTCAATATTATTCTCGACCGTCGTCAATGGCTGGTACATATTCAACACCATCTCCTCAAGTCATTCCAGTCAGTAACCTATTCATAACAACCAAAGTGTTTTTTCCCTCTCCAAACACACAAACTTCTTATTCAGCGCCAGACATGGCAAAACATATACCAACTCCAATAGCTCCAGCTCCGTCTACATCAACAGCACCCTCGTCATCTATTCGTATCATATCGAACCAAATCATCAACCCAGCCCCACGTGAAACCAACATTATAAACATGGCTATGTTGAATGCTTGCGAAGATTTAGATTCGTCGACATAATTCTTATTTAAATTAATAAATAATTAAACAATAAAGCAGTCAGCTAACATACATTCATAGAACAGATTTCCTATGATTCTACTAAAATCTAAATAAATGTATAACATAATGTTTTGTTTTATTCTTACCTTAACTAGATCCTTTAGAATTTTATTAAGAGCTCGGCAAACTTCACGAATGATTATTGATATCATAGAGACAGATACTTTAAACAAGTAGTGAAGGCTTTTGTAAGAATCACCAGATGCCAAAAATCGTAGCGTAATGGCAAGACGAAATTTGGCTGGTATAGCTTCTCTGAAGTCTGTATCATGCTTCGATATCATTGGTGAAATTTTTTACAGTAAAAACTCAAAATCAGAATAGCTCATTCGGCAGAAGTTATCAAACTCTCCAGATAGTTCATATAAAAGTTCATTAAAATTTCTCTTCTATAAATTGTCTGTAACAAATAAAATATATTGTAAGTATTGTGGCATAACTCAACTGCAACAGATAATGGTTAAATCAAAATAGTAGTTACCTGGTACGATTATGATGAATCTTTTTCATCCACCATCTTCGCTGTTGTCGAGCTCTCCTTTTTTTATTTCACTTTGCTTACATTTCAAATAAAAGTGCGTTAAACCAAATGCAATAGCCGTCACAAGTTCGGTGTCCGCCATGCTTGGATGTATATTGCAGACTGACGCATTCACAAGCGTATAAACGCCTTTCAAACGACAAACGAGATTTGTGGATGCTTGGGACTGTTTGCAGTTTGCCAAGGCTTGGCAAGCGTGTAAACGTACCATAACGCTTTCGTCACGCGTTCACCAGCTTACTCCCCAAGTCAAGCGTACTCAAATAAGTTTTAGTTCAAAAAGATTCCATTTTTAATGAGTAAAATATCTACAGCCTAAAACGCTGGTACTTTGTGAGAGCGTGGCCCTTCCCCGGTCGAGCCGACCCATTCGTAATGCAACTATAATATAGCTGCAGCGGGGCATAAGAGAAAATCTATTGTAGAAGTTGTGTTTTAGAAAAATAAAAGTATTAAATTGTTTAGAATTAAAAATGTAAGAATCACTCGGCACCAGAATTAATAAATTAAAAAAAACGTATATTTAATTCGGTTTAGTGGTCACACAAATGCGGACATAAATATGTGGGCAACCTATGGAGAGGACTGTGTTCACCAGTGGAATTTGATGAGTGGTGACGGTAAGCGTAAGTACTGGTATAACTCATTATGCCTGGTGTAAAAAATATATTTAATAACTTTCTGTAAATTATTATTGTTATTAAAATTATTTAAGCGTTAAATATTTCTGAAATGAACACTAATAAAAAGTAATTACAAAAGTAATCTTTAAAACAAAGTTGGTGTAAAAAAATTACGTGACAATGAAAACATTGGGTATTGGGGCAAATTTTTCAAAAATTAAGTGTAAAATTATTAATTATAAAAAATAATATGTAAAAATACATATTTTGTTGCGAAACTTTGCTGCACACAAATTTATTAATGTAATATTGCGTGTGTTTTAGTAAAGCTTTGATATACCCACAGTATGTATGATGTCATCTAACTTTAAGACCACATCACTGTTTTGCCAAGTGGGATACTAAGAAAAGGTTATAGTATAGGTATATAGTAACGTAACGTGAAATTTTTAATATCGCGATTTAGAACTTTTTTAAAATGATATCAAAAGATTATTAATTTATTTAACAGCTAAATTTATAATTGATGTTAATAAGTTTTGATAATAAAATGGACCAAATTCATATTTAAAATTATAAGAATAAATTTAAAAACCCTATATGATTTACATTTTAGTCACGAACAGATGGCGCTTTTACATTAAAAATTTGATAGGTACAACTATTCTAATTGTTGCCACACACGGTCAATTCAACTGATCATTCCAACTGATCAGTTCATATTATTTATTCATTCGATGTATATAGAGAATCGGAGACCTTTATCAAATGAGGCATTTATTAATTTTCTTAAACCCGTTAACGCCCTCTGTACTTTCTTGAGTACACCTCGTTATGTCGATATTTGATGTACTTTGGCATTTGTTTCAATCGAACTAATTGTTTATTTTAAAACTAGATGACTCTAGTAGACTATAAAATCAATCGTTTTGACAGTGACACGTAAACTGATGTCAAAAATTTTATTTCGTGAAACGGTTTTGTGACTTTAATTTGGAGGTAAGTGATTATTGTTGATTTTAAATAAATATTTTAAAGGTTTTGGATACATATTGGATTTTAACGTTCGATAATACTTTATTACTGCTTGTCAAATTGTATTTTAAATAAAATCTTTATTAAATCTGCCATATTACGATGGTTTATACCTGTGTACACAGACAGGAACAATGGGCATATGTATATGTTATTTTTACTTTTTTTACAGTTGTACTCGAAAACCAGTAAATGGCGAACCGCTGCGTGTTTTCGAATCAAAATAACTACTCAAAGCTTGAGGAATCACTAGAATCGATACTGGCTGGTAAAGATCAAGATGTAGAGTATGACCGCCAGATCCTGCTACCGTATGTGACGAAGAAGAGGGTAATGAAGACGACTTAGTTTCTTCAACACTTCCAAGGGATGTTCCAGGGACTTTGGAGGTAATTCACCTCCATCCTGATTATGACGTTTCGGACTGGAGTGACAGTGACGATGAGCCCCTATCAAACACGGCTGGGACCGCAGAACACTCTAGAAATAAGTGGCCTAGAGACCAACGCGAGCAGCCCGAAATACCTGTTTGGAGGAAAACTTTACCCCAATACAGTGCTGTTTATGATGCTACAGATACATTACAAAATCGACAATAAAGTATAATAGAAAGCTTAAAAGATTTAAATAATATGTAGTTATGCTGTTTGAAAAAATGTTTGATTACGATGTAATGTATCTCATAATAAATAACAGTTTGTTGTACGCTGGTCAAAATAATAAGCACAATTTTGAGCTGGACATCTCTGACTTGTAAAGATTTTTGGGTATATTGATTCTTATTGGCTACCATCAACTACCATCTGAACGTGCGTTTGATCAAAGAGTCCCCTCTATCCAATATGTATCGATAACGAGGTCATCGTAAATGATTACTAACCAGCTGATTTTTTTTACTTAGTTATTTTTTACTTAGTTATTTAGTGTCCCTTCAGCGGTACCAAATTGACTGTCGTTATATCGAAGTGCTGTACAGAACAGCTGTAGTGTTTGTACAGTAAGGCTACGATGGCTATCCCAATACACAACCAGAGTACGAAACCGATTCAACTGCAGAGAGGTGTAATATAGGTGACGTTATATTATATATATATATATATATATATTTTAATAGAAGAGAAGGCAAATGAGCATACGGCTCACCTGATGGTAAATGACTACCGCCGCCCATGAACACCAACATCACCAACAGATTGCTGATGCGTTGCTGGCCTTTTAAAATAGGAATAGGTTCTTTTCTTGAAGGTCTCTAAGTCGTATTAGTCCGGAATAATCTCTGGTAGTAGTTGATTCCACAAGGGAATTGTGCAAAGAAGAAAACTTCTTTTAAATCGCTTAGTGGTGGATCGCCAGTCATCCAGATGGTATGGATGGTATCGCGAGTTTTGTCGCAATATTCTCAAAACCCTTCATCATTGCATTGAAAGACGTTTTCAATCTACTGGACTGGAAGGGAATACAGTATTAACATTAGTGGCAAATACATCACTCACCTTCGATGTGCCGACGATATCGTAATTATGGCAAAATCGCAGGAGGACTTAATTAATATGCTCAATGAACTCAATAGTGTCTCTTAACGGATAGGTCTTAAGAAGAACATAGACAAAACAAAAGTCATGTGGAATGTCCATGTCACACCTATGCTGGTGGATGTTGGGAGCACTAAGTTCGAAGTTGTTAATGAGTATGGACAAATAGTCCGACTAGGTAAGTCCAACTTCGACCAAGAGGTCAGTCGAGGGATTCAACTCGGCTGGGAACCGTTTGGGAAATTACAACACATCTTCTCATCAGGCATACCTCAAAATCTCAAAACTCAATTGTACAACCAGTGCGTTTTGCCAGTGATGATCTATGGACGTTAGACGTGGTCTTTCAAGAGGGTTAGTTCAGGGTTTCTCTGTGTGATAAACTTAGGAATGAAGCCCAACGGATTAGTAAGCTGAAGTGGCAATGAGCCGCCCATATAGCTCGAAGAACCGAAAACCGATGAGGAAGAAAGTTTCTCGAGTGGCAGCCTCGTACCGGCAGGCGAAGTATAGGGCTTCCCTCCACTATATTGTGTGACGTCCTGGTAAGACATGCAGAAAGTCGATGAATGCAGGTGGATCAGGAACGTGGTTTGTGGTAGGCCTATCTTCAGCAGTGGAATTGTGAAGCGCTGTAATGATAACGAATGATGATGATGATGAGTTACCGCATCCATTTACTATTAGGTCAATGGTTACGTAAAAAAAAAATAATTGTGACCTTTTTTCTAAGATATTCCAATCGGCGACGCGGACCAGCGCCAAACGTGCGATATGTACTGTGAACTGGTGAAAGGTTTCGACTTATTACTATATGATTCTCAACACAGTATAAATTAAAGTTTTTTAAACTACGCAACGGATTTTGATGCGGTTTTTTAATAGGAAGGTTTATATGTTTAATACATGCATAAATGTTGTCGAGATTCAAAAATCACACGTGCGCAGCCGAATGAAATGAATCGCTAGTTTATAAATAATTTTCTATTTCTGTTTACAGGGATCTGATGACAATCCAGCGGTGATCCAGACAGCATCCTGGTATCTAGACTCGGTCTTGTCCGTCAGTAGCGTTCGGCTGGAGCAGTTGCGGCACGTTGCAGCCGCTTGCTTCTGGATCGCTCAGAAGCATCACGGACCAGTGGCCTCTGCTTCTAAGCTTATTAAATGTGCAAATAGAGCCTTTAGTAAAACACAATTATTGAGTTCCGAAGAGGCGATCTTAAAGAAATTGGTATGTCACAGTAACTACCCTTGGCACCTTGACTAAGACTTACCAGACTTTAATTTAAACTTCTACTTTAATAATTTTACTTACGACCTGTGGTTGGTGTAAGAGGCAACTATATATTTTCCACCTGTGAGTGATATATGACACGACTGTATGAAATTCCGGAGATATAGATCTTATGGCTTATGGCTATGGTGGAAAACAATCTCATTTATGTAAAACATAAAATACTTAGACGCAGTGGATCAACGTCAAAGGCGCGAGACATCTGGTACTACCATCGTCAATTCGCGTACTAAGCGTGACGATTAAGTATGGCGAATAATATCGCCAACAATGTAAGAAAGTTCCCATGTTCAACAGTGAACTTTTAAGGGCTGATGAAGAAGTAATTATTAGGATATGTATATAAATAGTTTTATATTAACATATAATGCAATTATTTATTTGCCTTAATTGCCACGTTATAATAGCGAGCAATAATTACAAATTTCTTTGAAGGGTTCTATGAGTTCTACGAGGAGGCTATTGGAATTTAATAGGCAGTAATTAATGTCCTTCAGACCGAATTTCGGCCACGGCGGCCTGCCTCAACGGAGACTAGCCATCGGCGCAGGACAGGATTATAGTGAACAAGTGTATGCGAAAGCACAGGTGCACTCTCTATTCCCTCACTCTCATAATCCGATGGGACGGTAAACCAACACGACCGGAGAGAGATCAGGCGCAGGATTAACGGCTTTACGCGCTTTCCGAGGCACGGGGGTGAGACACCGCCAACTTCCTGACACCGGGCAACTAATGAGAATATCTTACGAAAAAACTCAATAATTATTTAAATAATAAATCTCTTATAGTAATTAATAAATTTCATATAAATATTATGTTTAATATCGATGGCAGTAAAGAACAAAAAGTCAACCTTTTTACACCATACATCGAATTAGGAAGCTTCTATTGTACAATAAAGTAAAAATTTATTGCGTGTTATTACATTATATCCTCAAAAAAAAAAAAAAAAAAACTTCATTAGTATGTTTTCTAAATACCATGTGAATGGTTATATAAAAAAATCAATGATGATTACAGAATATTATTTTTTCATAGTTTTTATTTTAATAGATAGATTTGCATTGTTATGGTTTTTCTTATTTATGTGAAATAAACCAGATTTTTAAAAGATCATTACTGTCATGAAGATTCTGAAAAATGTATGTCCGCCGTGTGTCCTTTTCTACTACTGATCGATTTTAAGTTTTCTTTTTTTTTGTGTGTATTTAATTGTCCAGTTGTATGTGATTGCATGATACAATTGGTGGAGAATAAAGTTCATGGAGTGGCAACCTCGGACTCCGAGCCAATAGAAAGCATGACACAACCTGATGAAACATGTAGTTATGCCTCGATTGATGCAAGTACTTTCGGGGTGGTCAAGTTCTGTATTAGACTTGTGATGGACTGTAGAGTAGTGATAGCGACACATGAATCAAAATAGTTTTAATAGCGTGCACAAATTTTATATATTATTTCCAACACATTTTTCCAGAAATTTCCATCGCAACCAGTTGTACCTCAAGATTATATAACTTACTTGTCTTGGTGGTTAGATGACGCTCATCCCGATGAAATTGAAATAGCAGCGGTCTTTCTCTGTTTATGCGGTTTAATGGTAAATAAAACACTCTGCAATGAGTTACCGTCAGTAATCGCCGCTGCTTGTGTACAAGACGCTTTACTGCTGCTGGGGAAACGGGACTTGATGCTGCGTCTTCAGACATGTCCAGTGTAAGTAACATTATTTATAAAACCTTTTTTATAATTATAAAAACCTTATACCATGATATTAAAGCTTGCTAACTATGCAAGTCATTTGCTAGAATATCCGGGATGATTTTAAAGTTGTGCGACACACTAATCAGTATGAAATGCGAAAGGTAAAACTGATTTTACGATGATTTTGTTAAAATTGGTACAGATAAAGTTTGTGGTATTTTTTGCAGTTTCATTTCATCATCATTTAATACACGTTATACAAAATTAAAAGGTCACATCCATCAGTCCATCCACCACATACTATAAAATTCTACTGCTAAACATATGTCTCGCTTATAGAATATCTCATATAGAGGATTTTGCCATAGTTGCCACGCTAGTAAGGCGGTTCGGCAACCGCAGTTGTTTATGATTTGGAGTTGTTATCAGTAAGATGCTGCTGCCCATTTCCTGTTTCCGTTTTCTTCTACCGTCTCTTACATTACCCAGGGTACGATTCGGAAGAGTGGACTCTCTCACATCACCACTAATTATGAAGAACTGATACGAACTATGAAGAACTAATTTTCACAAATATATAGTATAAAAGTTGGGATTTGGATGTCTGATGCTGTTTGACCGATATTTTCAAATAAAAACGAGGAGACGTCAGTATGTTTAATATTTTATTATTATGAAAATAAGAAAAAAAACTACAAAAATTTTATTAATCATAGTAAATTTTTCATATTATTAAAATATTAAACACACAAGATGGAGTGACGACCTGGTAGTCGATGAGTGCAGCTGGCTCAGGACTGTGCTTTGTTGCATTCCTTGGTACGCTATGTTCAGCAGTGGACTTGTCAAGGGCTGCTAGAATGAATGAATGAATGAAAAAGAGAATTTTACATAAAATATCTAAGTGAGTTTACAAATTTTGTAAGGTTAAATTGTAATACACTTTAAATCCCTAGTCCCTGAGCCTGGCGTCATAAAAGACCACGTACTGTCTGTATACATATGATTCAATGATATCCGAGGCATAAGGCTATAAAGACACTTGTAGGGACGGCTGAGATTATGTCCAGATGCGGGATGTTCTGGAAAACTCGGGACTGTTGGCAAACCCAATCATATTCCTCATCAATACGTGAACTGTTGGAGATCGGGATAATTTTCCTTAAAATCATCCTTAAAAGTCAAACTGACGGTCACTATAGAACTCAGAATCATTGCTTTCACGCGGCTACTGTAGTAGGCAACTCAATAAGAGTAAGAGCCCGTGAACACCAGACCTTTGTTATTTTATAAAAGCTGAAAGTATGTCAGCGCATGCTCCCAACACAGGGAAGAAATATGGACCATTATGAAGTTTGGGTAACAGTGGCTTTGGCAGGTAAATGGTACCGTTACGAGCTTGAGGTTCACCTTGCAGCGCCCATAAATACACATTAGCAACGAAACATCCAGAACATTCAAGTAAATACGCTCACCAATCGACAAAGCGTCGAGAGTTCGAGTGTCGGCTTCTAAAAGCTTAGTTCTTCGTTTCGACACCAGATGGCGCTGTCGGTTGAAAGATTAGTGATGTCATTTTCTGGAAAGCTCCCCCCGCTCTCGTCCCTGACACTACATGACGTCAACTTAGGCGCGCGACAGTACTAAAGGTGTGTAAAATACCGATCCAAATTCGTCAAATATATTATTCATTGCTAGACACTTAACATCGTGGCAACCCCTTGCCAGACACCCTTAATGCTCATGAAATTGTAATTTTACTTACGTTAAACTATAAAAGCTGATTTTTATATAAAATACTTGCGTACTAAGTAAATGATGATCCCTCGTTAGCCAGACATTTTAGATAGCTCCAACCTCTTGCCAGACAAACATGTAGGGTATCTGTAGGAGCGAGCGCGAGGCAGTATATATATGGGTGGGTGCGAATGAGATGGCGAGTTAAGTCTACCGCGATCCCTCACTGCTAGAAATGGCGTTAATGGTTAAATTTATTTATTTGTTAAAAGTTATTTGTTAATTTTTTTAGCAGATAAAAATAACAGTTAAAAATATTATTTACTTTTGTTGTGAATTTTTATTTTAATCGGTTGTGTTAATTTTATTACTTTAATTTTACACCTAAAATTTTAATTCAATAAACATTTTAAATCACTCTTTAAAAAATAAATGTTAATATAACTGAAATCTATAATACGTCTTCAATTGAACCCTAATCCCTTAAAATATAAATATAACCGCCTATAGTATAGATAGCTGTATATAGATAACTACATACAGCTATCTATAATACTCAACATGTTAAATATATGTCTATATACTTATGGTAAGTCTGTGACATCAAAATAACCCTTTTAATGAGCTTGGGGTTTATTTGCATGCACAGATTACCACCTAACCCCTTAGGTAATCTGTGTGTATAGATCATTTCGGCGGCAGGATCAGCGCAAGCAATAGCTAGTTAGTCCTCGTTTACGAGTCTATTGAAATAGAAAAAATGCTATGATTTTTCGAAACGATGTCGTATTCCGACCACCATGTTTGCTAAGCTCCGGCAAAGTCTAGTATAAATTTAAGAGCAATGACGTAATCAATTATTAGCCTTATATAGTAAATGAGTTGGAATGAGTTTTTGTTCTCGTAGGGAGAACCCTTGGCTAAGAGAAATTGCGCGGGAAAGGAATCTTTATTTGTTTTAGCAAATGCGACTACCGTAATGACGATCATTTATCTCGACGGTTGTAATCGGACAATTGTTTTAATCCAGTATTTTATCTTGATACAATTAATACTTGCTATTAGAACTTAAATAGAATCAAATAAAAAAATTAAATACATTTTTTATCTATTCGGAGAAAAAAACTCTTTTGTTACTTCTGCAGAGAAGTTCTAATTGAAAAAAAGGGAAAACTGAATTTTAACCCCGGCAGCAGGTTTGCATTTAATCACTAGTGCAGTAAGAGGCGAAAGAGAGGAAGAATGGAGAAGATGAGCAGCAGCTTCCTTCTGGAAACAATTCTTCAAATAATTATTTGTTAATAAAAACTGCGGTTGTCAATCCGCCTGCCAAGTGGAAGTAACGGCAAACATCGTCCCTGTGAGCTAATGTATGGAGGCAAGAGTTCACAGCAGTGTGCTTTTGATAGGGTGTGATGATGATGATGGGTTGAAAGTGTAGGATTCGTGAGTGTGTCTGTATTTCTAATATATTGAAAATATGCCAAGAACATGAACAGGCCGACAGCAGGCATTAAGACAGTGCAGTGGAATTTTTTCGCTCCAAAGCTACTTTTCAGAATTGAGAAAAAGACGTTTTCCACACGTCGTTGAAAATATGCCAAGAACATGAACAGGCCGACAACAGGCATTAAGACAGTGCAGTGGAATTTTGTCTCTCCAAAGCTACTTTTCAGAACAGAGAAAAGACGTTTTCCACGCGTCGTTGAAAATATGCCAAGAACATGAACAGGCCGACAACAGGCATTAAGACAGTGCAGTGGAATTTTTTTGCTCCAAAGCTACTTTTTAGAATTGAGAAAAGACGTTTTCCACACGTCGTTGAAAATATGCCAAGAACATGAACAGGCCGACAACAGGCATTAAGACAGTGCAGTGGAATTTTTTCGCTCCAAAGCTACTTTTCAGAATTGAGAAAAGACGTTTTCCACACGTCGTTGAAAATATGCCAAGAACATGAACAGCCCGACAACAGGCATTAAGACAGTGCAGTGGAATTTTTTCGCTCCAAAGCTAATTTTCAGAATCGGGAAAAGACGCTTTCCACACGTAGTTGAAAATACGCCAAGAACATGAACAGGCCGACAGCAGGCATTAAGACAGTGCAGTGGATTTTTTTCGCTCCAAAGCTACTTTTCAGAATTGAGAAAAGACGTTTTCCACACGTCGTTGAAAATATGCCAAGAACATGAACAGGCCGACAACAGGCATTATGACAGTGCAGTGGAAGTTTTTCGCTTCAAAGCTACTTTTTAGAATTGAGAAAAGACATTTTCCACACGACGTTGAAAATATGCCAAGAATATGAACAGGCCGACAGCAGGCATTAAGACAGTGCAGTGGAATTTTTTCGCTCCAAAGCTACTTTTCAGAATTGAGAAAAGACGTTTTCCACACGACGTTGAAAATATGCCAAGAACATGAACAGGCCGACAACAGGCATTAAGACAGTGCAGTGGAATTTTTTTCGCTCCAAAGCTACTTTTCAGAATTGAGAAAAGACGTTTTCCACACGACGTTGAAAATATGCCAAGAACATGAACAGGCCGACAACAGGCATTATGACAGTGCAGTGGAATTTTTTTCGCTTCAAAGCTACTTTTTAGAATTGAGAAAAGACGTTTTCCACACCTCGTTGAAAATATGCCAAGAACATGAACAGGCCGACAACAGGCTTTTGCGGGTGACAACGCATTTTGATTCGTAATCGAGGATAGATGTAGATGTCTACGGGCTACAGCAACCACTTACCATCAGGTGGACTGTATGCTCGTTTGTCACCCTACCCTATAAAAAACAGACTTTGAGACAGTGCACTGGAATTTTTTCGCACCAAAGCTACTTTTCGGAATTGAGAAAAGACGATTTCCACACATCGTTGACAGGGTATATGTATATGATTAGTTTATGTACAAACGCTCGTTGATTTGTACTCGTAAAATTCCAAAGACAAACTTTATGGGCAATTTATACAACAAGAACGTTTTCTACTACGGTGATAAGTATATATAAACCTTTACCTCACTCTCCGCGATTGTAGACACCACGTCGTTTTGGTCAAACAAAGTACGTCTGACCTCCAAACGTCTTAGCGAACAATGGCCGGTGCGGGCGTTGATTGTTGAATCTCTACAAGACACACATTTAAATAGAAGTATCTCTTTCTGGACAATAAGGACACATTCATGTATGTATTTGATTACTAATTGTACAATAGGGTTACTCTAGCGCGTTATGGCGCACCAAACAGTCAGTCACCTTTGCACTATGTTGATGTCT